AGGGAGAGAAAAATAAAACAAGATGAAATCAGAGAGGGAGACAAACCATAAGAGACTCTTAATCATAGGAAATAAACTGAGGGTTGCTGGAGGGGAAGGGGTTGGGGGAATGGGGTAACTGGGTGATGGACATTAAGGAGGGCACAAGATGTAATGAGCACTGGGTGTTATATAAGACTGATGAATCACTGAACTCTGCCTCTGAAACTAATAATATACTATGTGTTAATTGAATTTAAATTTAAAAAAATGAAGAGTGTGCTGGGTGCTTTTTCTGTATCAGTTGAGATAATCATGTGGTATCTTTTTGTTCTTGAAGTCTCTCCACTACGTTTTTCTCCATTAATGCTGCTTGTCTAGTAGGCTTTTTTACTCTTAAAACATACCTTTTTACCTCAGAAATTTTTATTTCACTGTTCCTTGATTATTTCTTTCTCTTTGTTCTTTTCCTCTGGAAAGTCTAATAGATTGTTTTGGAACCTCTGTGTTGTTCATGTTTCTTAACTTTTCTTTCCTGCTTTGACTTTCTGTTTTATCTTCTGGGAGATTTTCTCGACATTGTCTTCCAGATGACTGATTCTGTATTCAACTATGTTCATTTTATTATTTAGCTAATCTATTCAGTTTTCAAATTTTTAATAATCTATTTTGTTAAGTTTATTTTTCATGTTCTTTGCTGTTTCATCATTTTTATAGCTGTAGTATCCTTTGGCCCTCTTTGAACTTTTTAGTTTTAAAGTTGTTTTTATTGAATTATCTGTTTTCTCTTGGATCTTTTGTCTTTTCATGTTGGATCTTCCCTTTTGTGCTGTTGGTTTCTTGAAAATGTGTGTTTGGGGACGCCTGGGTGGCTCAGTCAGTTAAGCGTCTGCCTTCAGCTCAGGTCATGATCCCAGGGTCCTGGGTTTGAGTCCTGCATTGGGCTCCTTGCTCAGCGGGGAGCCTGCTTCTCCCTCTCCCTCTGCCTGCTACTCTGCCTGCTTGTGCTTTCTCTCTCTCTCTCTGACAAATAAATAAAATCTTTTTTTAAAAAAGAAAATGTGTGTTTGGCTTTAGTTGAATGAATTACGGTGGTTAATAGAGGTTGGCATGTCTTTTCCTGTCCAAGTGGCATAGTGCTGCTTCCCAAGTAGTGGGAGGGCTGACTGTGAGCTCTGAGTGTCTGGTAAACTTTGGGCAGAAAGACCAGCTCTTCTACAGATGTCAAAATAAGGAGGGCTTTGTTTTGATGAGTAAACTCTTTTACTCTTTAAGTACATTCCATTGTATCAGTTGTGGAAGGCGGGGGTACTGTACTTTCTTTGCTTTTTTCCTCAAGCCACAGTATTCATACCAGGAGTCATCCCTCCCACTTTTGTTTCATTTTTAAATATTTACTTTTTTTTTCAGCTTTATTTAAGACATCTGTTCTTGTGCTTTGCCCTGGGGTCAGAAGTGGTAGTATCCATGCCCCTCAGTATGCAAGGGGGGATCAAGGGGACCTTTACTGGACCTTATAGGTTTTAAATTGTGTGGTAATTGTCACATACGTACTCCTGATTTTTGCAAATGTAAGTCTCAGTATAAAAGCTTTTCAGGAACTCCCTTGAAAAGGCCCAGCCTGTTTCACTGTTGATGTTTTGAGCTATGAATTTCTTTATTTCACTTTTTCTGTCAAAGCCAACTACTTTTGAATGTTTCTTAAAATTTTAAATTTTAAAATATTTCTGATCCATGGCTCTGTCTTGTTTCTTAGTGCTATTATGATTTCATTTTAAAAATATCTTTGCAGGGGCGCCTGGGTAGCTCAGTCGTTAAGCGTCTGCCTTCGGCTCAGGTCATGATCCCAGGGTCCTGGGATTATGAGTTGGATCATCAAGAGTTGGATGCTTGACGGACTGAGCCACCCAGGTGCCCCAGTCATGTGCTTATTGGCTCTTATTATAATTATAGTTCTAACAGTCATATTTGTTTAGAAATACACTTTAAAAGAAGAGGATTGTAAGAGCAATCTAATGATAACTGAAGGAGATAATGCTCCTATACTTCAGTATAACACTTGAGGTGCATAATTATGACCCTTATTAACTATTAAGAGAGAAAGAAAAAAGCTTGGGGCGCCTGGGTGGCTCAGTTGGTGAAGCGTCTGCCTTCGGCTCAGGTCATGATCCCAGGGTCCTGGGATCGAGCCCCACATCGGGCTCACTGTTCTGTGGGAAGCCTGCTTCTCCCTCTCCCACTCCCCCTGCTTGTGTTCCCTCTCTCGCTGTGTCTCCCTCTGTCAAATAAAGAAATAAAATCTTAAAAACAAAAAAAAAAAGCTTTGCTGCATCATAGAAAGAGTAAAGAACATTTTCAGTTATTTGGACTTCGCTGCAGCCGGCTCTAATCACAGCTCTAGCACTTACAGGCTGTGCATGTTGCTCGACCTCTTTGAGACTGATTTCACATTTTTTACTTCTTTGACACCCACATCAGTCTTCTCCCTTCCCCTTGTGTTCACCTATACATTCTCTCCCAGGAATGATCTGATCATCTGCTCTCCTTGACTGCTTATTTCCTTCAAATCTTAACCCTGATACCACTTTCCCGAGGAATTCATCCCTGACTCTAGATTAGATTATGTGCCCTGTTGTATACTTTTATAGCACTTATCCCAGTTGGAATTTTGTGTTTATTATATGATTATTTAACAGTTTCTTTCAATAAATATTTACTGAGTGCTTAATAAATCTTTTCCGGGGGGTGCCTGGGTGGCTCAGTTCGTTAAGCGACTGCCTTCGGCTCAGGTCATGATCCTGGAGTCCCTGGATTGAGTCCCGCATCGGGCTCCCTGCTCGGCAGGGAGTCTGCTTCTCCCTCTGACCCTAACCCCTCTCATGTGCTCTCTCTCATTCTCTCTCAAATAAATAAATAAAATCTTAAAAAAAAAAAAATCTTTTCCGGGATTGTAAGCTTTATTAAGGCAGAATAAAGACTGGGCCTGTGGGTTTTATGTCTGTTTTACTTGGTCATTGTGTCCCTAACACCCAACATAGTGCTCAGACATAGGGAGTGAGCAGTTGTTGAATGAATAAATACAGATGGAGATAATACTGCCTACCCTACTTACAAAGCTGTTGTGAGCCTTCAGAATGATTATGTGTATGAAGTGCTTATTAGCTTGCTTGTGGCCTGGTTGGGACAGTATCCCTAATTGTTAATGGGAGCTAGTCAGTCTGCTGTGGCTCGTGAGAGTGGTTCTTGTGGATACAGGTAGCCCTTAATTCATGCTCTCCCATTTACTAGCTCTCTGACCCTGCAGAGGTGCTTAATATCTCTGATTTGCATTTTCTTTATAAATGGAAATAATAATAACTATTTTATAGGGTTTTGTAAGGATTGGCCTGTGACCATCACAGTCAAGCAGTTAGCAGACAGTACTCAGTAGGTAGTGGGCATAGCATTGGTCCAATGTTAATGAATTAGAGAAATAGGGCGCCTGGATGTCCCAGTTGGTTAAGCGACTGCCTTCGGTTCAGGTCGTGGTCCCGGAGTCCTGGGATCAAGTCCCACATCGGGCTCCCAGCTCAGCGGGGAGCCTGCTTCTCCCTCTGACCCTCTACCCCTCATGCTCTTTCTCACTCTCTCTCTCTCAAATAAATAAATAAATAAAATCTTTTTTAAAAAATAAGAGAAATAGTGGGCGCCTGGGTGGCTCAGTTGGTTAAGTGACTGCCTTCGGCTCAGGTCATGATCCTGGAGTCCCTGGATCAAGTCCCGCATCGGGCTCCCTGCTCAGTGGGGAGTCTGCTTCTCCCTCTGACCCTCCCCCCTCTTATGTACTCCCTCTCTCTCATTCTCTCTCTCTCAAATAAAAATAAATAAAATCTTTAAAAAAAAATAAGAGAAATAGTTAAGGAATATGTAGAAAGTATCAGAAAATTCACATATGTGGAAACACTACATTTTCTGACAGATGGTAACAGTAGATGTATTGCCATTAGCCCATAATCCTCAGAATATCCAGTATTTCCTAATTATGTCTGTGATGGGTTGTATCATGTTAAGTTTAGTCTTGTTTTTAAGAGGACTTTGGGGGTGATACGCCTGGGTGGAACAGTCCTTTAAGTGTCTGACGTCGGCTCAGGTCATGATCTTGGGGTCCTGGGATCAAGCCCCACATCTGGTTCTGCATTCAGCAGGGAGTCTGCTTGTCCCTCTCCCTCTGCCTCTGCCCCGTGCACCCCTCCCCCATCATTCTCTCTCTCTCAAATGAATAAAATCTTAAAAAAGTAAAACAACTTTTGGGAGTATGATTATATATTCCTAAATAGTTGAATTCTTTTGAGACTTAAGCCTTCTAAATTTTAAGATGCCTTAGAATGCCCTATCACTTGTGTATAAAAGTTATGATCATCCAAGTGACAGTGTTGGAAATCATCCTGGATTTTTGGACGACTGTGTGTTCATGGATAATGTGTGTGGATTTAGAAGACTATTCTGAATAGTAGTTCACAGTTCTTTCTGCCCAGAGTTCCAGGCATCCCCCGGGCATTGGATGCTTCACCAGCCTTTTCTGACAAAGGCATGTTGCCATATAAGTGAAAAGGACATGTTATTACAGGAATAACTTTTAATTTTCTCTAATTTACATATTTAAAAATTCGTTTGGGCGCATTTGATACTTAAGACTATTTACAGGGACATGATCCATGCTATCATGTTAAACCTTGCTTCTCATTTAAATTGTTTTACTTTCATCTTGGCTATATGGCCCTGACTTCTGACTTTCATCAGAAGGAGTTTGTTTTGTATAATTGTTTGCATTCATACAAGCGTTTGTGGAGGGGGATGCTTGGCTGGCTCAGTTGGTGGAACGTGTGACTCTTGATCCCAGGTTTGTGAGTTCGAGCCCCACATTGGGTATAGAGATTACTTTAAAAAAAAATAAAAAATCTAAAAAACAAAACGAAACAGCAAATGTCTATGGAGAAAGATGCAAAACTTTCTAGTGATTGGTTGATGTACCTTTATTACAGGCTCAGCAAAACAGTCCCTCCTCTACGGGATCTGGCAACACAGAGCATTCCGGCAGCTCCCAAAAACAGATCTCCATCCAGCACAGACAGACCCAGGTAGGTTGGTGACCAATATACAGAGGAAAAGATGTGCTTAGGAATAAATGCTAACCACATATAAAATCTGTGAGTCCTCTCTTTCCTTTATTTCTCCAACTTTACCTCATTATTTGTGTGTATTTTACTCAGAACTTGTATTTTGCGTATTAAAGTCTTTTGGAAGGTGCTTTAACTTTTTGAGGTGTTTCTTTACCATTCTGGTGTGTTGCAGAGAAATGCTTATACTGTAGCATGGTATTGAAAAAGCACTTACTTTGGAGACCTCTAGGGCTGGGTTCAAATCCTGCCTCTACAACTTACACTATCTTTTTGGGCCTCAGTTCTTGAATACAAATCATCTGTAAAATGTGGTTGATTCTAGTTCTCTCAGACAATGTATGCAAAATGCTTATTAGGGCAAGCCTTTTAATACACTTCAGTGAATGTTAATTCCCTACTTTATGAAAGTAGTTAATTTATTCCTTGTACCTGCTTATTTGACAAGACCTAACTAGACTCCTTTAACATGTGGCACACGAACATAATTTCCTCTGTAAAGTTTTCAGAAACTCTTTTTAATTTAGGGAATGTTGTGAACATTCAAAGTTAGTATCTGAAAAGGATAGTGGATACATCCTCCATTCTGTAGTGTTTAGCTAGCCAAATAGTACACTGTGTTTTCTTGAAGCCTCTTGGCAGTGTGTTACCTTCAAGACAAGATGCTTGGCAATTTAAGAGAATTTCTTAAATCTTAAGAGCTATACAGTCGTCAGGAGTAGATTTTAATTTTATTTGAATGAGCAGCTTTTGGACAGTTGAACCAGACTTTTGATTCAGAAAACTTCATTTCTCCCCTTCTGATTGTTCTTTGTTTCCACTAGGTGGCATGTTAGTTCTTTAGAGATTTGGTTCCTCTCTCCTCTGAACTCCTTTTCTATTCACAGTTAGTTTCATTTCTAGAGTAGTATGTTTCTGTATTGCTCAATGCACAATCATTTGAGAATTTATATATTTGATACCAGAGTTAACATTGAAGTGCAGGTGTAGCAAAATATAAGGCTTAAAGAATGGGTTGAGAAAAGCAGATTTAATTTCTTTAGCCATGTGATTCCAGGCTGTGTTAGCAAGTGCTTTTTTCCCCCAGAAAAGTAATGAGAAAAGTATGATGACATGTAGTATTTTGAGACTAATCTTAATTTGTTTTCTCTTTGTATAGTCTGACCTCACAATAGAAAAAATATCTGCACTAGAAAACAGTAAGAATTCTGACTTAGAAAAGAAGGAGGGAAGAATAGATGATTTGTTAAGAGTAAGTATTAAAATGTGGTAAGAGATTTTATAACAAGCACTGATTGATACTATGTATATTTGGATTATGCACATATCATAATTACTGTCAACCAAATAACAAATAATAAACATTTGGATATTTTCCTTTAATCTGAGGGAATCTGAGTAGGAACTAGGATCAAACCTATATTCTAAGCTTTATCTTTAAATTGGAAATCTTATGTTGTAGGATTTTAATATTTAAATATATACTAGAGAAATAGATACATGGAGTATGTGTTTCATCTGGAACTGTGAGAAACAACATAAAATACTGTTTCTATTCCAGAGAAGTTTTTGTAATATTCTTGAATTTTTAAAACTATTTCATAGGTACTTTTCAGCCCGCCTGCTTTTGCATTTTGTGTCTTTTTTTTTTTTTTTTTTAAGATTTTATTTATTTACAGAGAGAGACAACAGTGAGAGAGAAAACACAAGCAGGGGGAGTGGGAGAGGAAGAAGCAGGCTTCCCGCTGAGCAGGGAGCCCGATGCGGGGCTTGATTCCAGGACCCTGGGATCATGACTTGAGCTGAAGGCAGCCGCTTAACAACTGAGCCACCCAGGCACCCTAGCATTTTGTGTCTTTTTTTTTTTTTTTAAAGATTTTATTTATTTATTTGAGAGAGAGAATGAGAGACAGAGAGCACGAGAGGGGAGAGGGTCAGAGGGAGAAGCAGACCCCCCGCTGAGCAGGGAGCCCGATGTGGGACTCGATCCCGGGACTCCAGGATCATGACCCGAGCCGAAGGCAGTCGCTTAACCAACTGAGCCACCCAGGCGCCCACATTTTGTGTCTTTTATATCAGTATTCGTCTAAAAGTTTTTGTGCTTACAAGAGAAACTTCAAAAATACCTAATCTGGAATTTAAAAGATACTTTTAGGAAATACACCATGATATTTTAAAAAGATATTTTTCATATGCAATTTAGCATATTGACTGACCCCTTCTTTAAAAAACTTTGTCGGGGCGCCTGGGTGGCTCAGTCGTTAAGCGTCTTCCTTCAGCTCAGGTCATAATCCCAGAGTCCTGGGATCGAGCCCCGCATCGGGCTCCCTGCTCCGCGGGAAGCCTGCTTCTCCCTCTCCCACTCCCCCTGCTTGTGTTCCATCTCTCGCTGTGTCTCTCTGTGTAAAATAAATAAAATCTTTAAAAAATAAGTAAATAAATAAAAAACTTTTTTTTATTATAAAAGCAGTATATGCTCTTTATAAATTTAGAGAATACTGAAAAATATGACACCCATAATTCCATTAACCAAGTAAAACATTTGGTACATTTCCTTCAGTAATTTTGAGCCATTTGTAGTGTGTGTATATATACACATATATAAATGCATATATAAATAAGTCTTACTGATGTATAAATAAAATTGATTAATAATTTTATCTTCTCCAGTGATTTAGAAGGTATAGGTTTGATCATCATTTGTACTAATGCAGTAGTTTTCCAGCTGGCTCCATGGGGCCCTGAAGGTTCTGTTGGAGGAACCTCCAGGGCTCCCATGACACAGATGGGTGGGGATCTGCAGTTTTTCTTTATTATTGGGTAAGATGGTTTGAAGAAAGGGTTTTGTTTATTAACAATAATAGTAATGTTTATTAATAAAGATAATAAAAGTTACTGTGATTATCTCCCTCTAGAAGATTTTACCTCTAGTCCGTAATTATCAAAATCAAAATCAAAAAGTAGTGTATTTGACTCCCTCCTGTGTAAAACCTGGAATTGAGCACATATCTAAACCATAAGCCCGGGGGCGCCTGGATGGCGTAGTCGTTAAGCGTCTGCCTTCGGCTTAGGTCATGATCCCAGGGTCCTAGGATCAAGCCCCGCTTCGGGCTCCCTGCTCGGTGGGAGGCCTACTTCTCCCTCTCCGACTCCCCCTGCTTGTGTTCCCTCTCTAGCTGTCTCTCTCTCTGTCAAATAAATAAAATGTTTAAAAAAATAAAAATAAACCATAAGCCCTGTCTGAATAACATCTGATGTTTTTAGGCTATTACTACTAAATTATTTTAACATTTTATATAAGAATAATTCTTATATTACAAGCAGTTTTATGACCTAATTTACAATAATTAGTTACACATGTTTGTTAAACTCATTGGCAGTATATTTTTTAAATCATAGTTTTTGTCTTCTTACTTTTAGTTGACTGGCATACATTTTAAGTAATTAGTTTTCAAGAAGGATATATCAGTGTTAAGTTTTTTGTTTCCTTGTAGATCTGAGAATTCTCTCTCTTTGCCTTCCCATATAAAAGGTATTTTGTGAACAAAACCCAGACTCAGAACAATAAAGTAAATTCCACACTCCCCCCCCCAAAAAAAAGGTATTTTGTGTCATAACCTGTTAGCCTTCTCCTCTCACCGCCTTATTGTAAGACACACATACATACATGTGTGTGCACCTTTTACTTTTTTTTTTTTTTTTTAGCATTTACTATTTCTGAGAAGACCGTGACCAAAGGAACAAACACTGTAATCTGTTTTCTGTGTTGATTATAGGTACTCTCTCCCCTTATTTTTGTATTTCCAAAAATTTTTCCAGGGTACATCTGTACATGGGTCTCTAAATTTTTATTCTGGAAATGTGTGGTTGTGCTTAATTTTTGCCTCTTTCTGTCTTACGTTGGCCTCTTCCTTGGTTTCTAGCTTGAACCCCTGATCTCTTCCCCTTATTTCTATCACTTCAAGTCTTATTTAATAAGATTGACCTTCTTTTCTCTATTTCATTAAACATTAATTTATCTTATATTTTCTGCTGTTTACTGTATATTTTGTCAGTTTTGATTCTGTTATTTACATTTTTAGTTTACTTTTTCCCCTTATCTAATTCACTTAAGATTCTTAGTCCACCCTGTACATTCTTTATGGTTTTTGGCTCTGATTTCATAGACACCATGTCTTTTTGTGTTTTATGGAATATGACAAGCTGTATTCTAAAATGTTCTTTTGATTCTTTAGGGAGATCATTTTCATCATTCTCAAGCTGATGTTCTTTTCCTTACTCAGAAATATTTTTACTTAGGTCTGTGTTTTGGTTGTTTCCTTTGCTCCAGCTTTCAGCGAGGAGAGGCATATTTAGACTCAGTACCTACCTTCCGTCTTCCCTCATTAGCAGATGTGTTTGCTTGAGGTTGCTCTTATGCCTGTTTTTGTTCATATGGGTGCTGCTTGAATTGCCAGGGTTTTAATTAGGTAGACTGGGGGTTTAAAAAGCTCCTAGCCCAATTTCAGGACTGACAGGGTTTTGTCCAGAGAAGCTCTGCTGGACTGAAAAAGGATCATGGGCTCATCTCTTTTCTTCAGCCAACTTTTAAGATTGAGAAGAATGGAGTATATGAAAAACTTGAATCCTGACTTAGTACTCTTTTTGAATTTTAAAAAAATGACTGCTTTCATTTTCTAGGAAACATATGTTCCCTTTACTCACCATTACCCACCTTTTACTCCCTTGTTTTCTGAAGGTTGTAGTCTTTTCTTTGGCTGTAGAACAATACCAAAGAAATGGAGGCGTCAAAAAGGAAGACACCGAAAGTGGCTGCCACATTTTCCAAGTTGATTAGAATTTGTGTTTCTGATCTGGAGGGGCAGGGAATGAGCGCTCCTTACGTCTCCCTTCAGGCAGGCATGGTTGGTTCGTTGGGTTTTTCCATTTTGGTGAGATGTTGGATAAGGCTGCATCAGGAGGCTATAGGCAGGTGCTGTTTTAAACCTGAATACAAAGTTGTTCGTGCTAGAAAACCACAAAAATTTAGAGCTGTTAAAATTTTATTGTATTTTGGTACATCTAGGTGGCTCAGTCAGTTAAGTGTCTGCCTTCGGCTCAGGTCTTGGTCTCAGGGTTCTGGGATTGGGTCCCGCATTGGGCGCTCTACTCAGCGGGGAGTCTGCTTCTCCCCCTCACTTTCCCTCTGTGCTCTCCCTCTCCCTCCCTCTCTCTCTCTCTCTATCAAATTTATTTTATTGTATTTTATTTTGTTATTTCTTTATTGAAGTCTTTAAGAGAGAGAGAGCTTGCGCAGGAGTATGTGTGCACACAAGCAGAGGTGGGGGGGGCGGGGTGGGTAGAGGGAAAGGGAGGGAGAGAGGGAATCTTAAGCAGGCTCCATGCCCAGTGCGGAGCCTGACACGGGACTTAATCTCACAACCCTGAGATCATGACCTGAGCTGAAATCAGGAGTCAGACCCTCAACCGACTGAGCCAACCAGTTGCCCCTTAAAATTTAATTTTTTTTTTTTAAAGTAAGCTCTGCACCCAACGTGGGGCTTGAATTCATGTCCCCGAGATCAAGAGTTGTCACATGCTCTACCGACTAAGCCAGCCAGGCTCCCCTGGAGTTCTTAAAAGTTTAAATAAGCTGCCAGAGTTTGATTCCATACATTTGATTATAGATTTTAAGGGAATCCTCACCTTCCAAAAGGAGATTGAATTTTATGTAAACATTACGTAGTCTTTGTCTTACAGATTCTTTTTTTTTTTTTTTTAAGATTTTATTTTTAAGTGATCTCTACACCCATCATGGGGCTTGAACTCACAACCCTGAGATCAGGCATCGCAGGCTCTACCAAACTGAGCCAGCCAGGGACCCTGTAGATTCTTTATTATGAATTAGTCACATCTACCCAAATGTACTTACACTTTGCCTTTGATAGAGTGGTCCATAGAACTCTGTAAGAACTGATAGAAATTATACATATGAGTAGAAATTGGAGCTGGAAGCTGTTGTACATGGGCCACTTTATTTTTTTTTTTATTTTTTTAAAGATTTTATTTATTTATTTGAGAGAGAGAATGAGATAGAGAGAGAGAGCATGAGACGGGGGAGGGTCAGAGGGAGAAGCAGACTCC